CCCACCCTGGGCCTTCATAGGAGTAGGCAGTGAGGATTGCCCAGCTGTGTGGGTGCTCCTGCAGCACTCCACACCCCCATACTCTAAGGTCTCCTGGTTGTGCCAGTACCTGGATCCACACTGCAGAGACACAGAGCCACCTCTGTGTCATGAAGTCCATTTTACTGAGCTCCAGAAGACAGAATGGAAGTGAACAACTGCAATAAAGGCACATCAGACCTCCGCAGTTGGTAAGTTGAAGGGGTCACACCACCTTCCATCAGAACCTGGACCATCTTCAGGGAAAGGGCAGCTGCAACCTGCCATAGAACTTTGCAGAGTTTAACCCTGCAGGAGGTCAGGGAGCTCAACTTGGGCCTTGCAGCCATAATTCAGCCTGAATCTCAGGGGTCTGTCATTGGCTTGCTGAGACTAGGTGACTTCGTTCTGCACATAGCTGCCCACATTGTCTATTGTGACAGCAGACATATACCCTGAAGGAAGCCCTTCAAATTTTTTTCTTTCTTTTTCTCTTATTTTTAATTTTTCAATTTAATTTTTAAAATTTTATTTTTTCCCACTCTTCAAATTCTTCCTTTTTTCTTTCTTCTTTGTCCCACTCAATCTCTTCCTCCCCCCGCCATCTCCCTTGTTGTTCCTGTTTCTGTCCTAATTCGGATTTCTTCTTTCTTTTTATTTTCTTCTCTATTTTTCCTTCTCTCAATTGCTATTAGTTTCAAAGGAAAGTGAATACAATTTATAACTTCCCTATTACTGTTAAGTTGTTCTATTCTTGTCTTTGTTCTTGCACTCTGTCCCACCCTCTTGTCTTCAACAGTTTCCTAGAGTTTGCATGATCATTCTGTGTCCTTTGGCTTCACTTGAAACCTTCTCCTATCCTTCTACCTATCTACTCCTCTCCTCCCAACTCCTTCTAAGTCTCTATCCTAAAGGGTAAAGTTGCTATATTGAAGAGTTTATTTGCTATAAACATATTTTGGACTGGTCCTCAATTTTGATTTAATTCACATGGTTAAAGGTAATAGATTAATAACTACCACAAATTGTCAATTTCTAAACTGTGCTTGATGCTATTGTGTTGCTGATTGTGTCAATTGGGCTAAAGGGTTGTGGTTGGTTTAACCAGTTGTCCTTCCTGATATTATGAAAATGAGAGTGTCTCTGAGTTGTTAGAGACTCAAAACCTAAAGGGCAGCTGTATCAGGAAGATCAAAGTACTAACCCAGGAATTAAACCAAGGACAGACCAACAACAAAAATAAAAATGAGAAAGCACTTAAGCAAGGCACAAATACAGACTTCCAGCTCCTCAACAGCAAATTCTAGGGGAAACAAGGTGGAAAAGTGTGAAAATCAACCACCTAAACTCATAGCACAAGGAAGTAACAAAACAGATCAATCAGGCTCTAGAAAAATTCAAAACAGAAATAATTCCCAGCTAACTACAGAGATGGTGAGCACAATAAAAGACATAATTAAAGACTCTAGAACAGAAACAGACAAAAGAAAATAGATGAGTCCAGGACTATGACAGAAGCCATGAATGCCCAACACAGGAAAGAAATGGAATCCATGAAACAGGTTCAAACAGATACCCAGGAGATTAAAAATTCTATAGAAAACATTCACAGCAGAATGAATGAATGTGAAGATAGAGTTTCAGATATAGAAGATAGGATTGCAATCAGTGACCATGAAAAGAGAGATCTCTTAAAAACAGTAAGGGATCATGAGAAACTGATCCAACAACTCCTGGATGATGGAAAGAAGAATTACATAAGACTGACAGAGAATCCATGAAGTAGCAGGAGAAAGTACAAATAACAAAAAAACTGTTCATAGAATTAATGACAGAAAACTTCCCAAACAGAGGGGAAGAATATAACATACAGATAAATGAGGCATATAGGACTCCAACTAGCCATGATAAAAAAATCTACACCTAGACATATAATAGTCAAGATCCCAGAAACCCAACGAAGAATAAAATACTGCAAGCAATTAGAGAAAAGAAACAAATCACACGCAAAGGACAGTCCATCAGAATCACCACAGACTTTTCAACCCAAACCCTCAGGTCAGTGGGAGCCTGGAGTGAGGTATTTCAAGCCCTAAAAGAAAACACCCTCCAACCTAGACTGATGTATTCTGCAAAACTCTTTTAAAATGGATGGGGAAATAAGATACTTCCATGACAAAGAACATCTGAGAAACTTCACGAATACCAAACCAGTACTCCAAGCAATTCTAAACAATATCCTAGAAAAAGACAACAAAATTCACAACACCATGAGGCCCAACAGAGCAAATCAATTAGGCAAGGCAAGAAACTAAAGGGAGAGGGGAAAAATTAAAACGAGCCAACAACAGGACAATAACATGACAATGATAAGTCAATACATATCAGTTATAACTATCAATGTTAATGGTCTCGATTCACCAAACAAAAGAAATAGACTGGCAGAATGGATTAAGAAGCAAAATCCAACACTATGTTACATACAAGAAACACACCTAGTACAAAAAGAAACTCATAGACTGAAAGTAAAAGGATGGAAAACAGTTCTCTATAGGACAGGAGCCCAGAAAAAAAGCAGGGGTAGCTATCTTATTCACAGACAAAGTAAATTTCAATCCAGAACTAATTAAGAGAGACAAAGAAGGTCACTACATCCTTGTAAAGGGAACAACCCAAGAGGAAGAGATGACAATCATAAATATATATATTCACCAAATATTAATGCCCCCAAATATACAAAACAAATATTAAGGGACATGAAAAAACAAATAAGCACTAATACAATTGTAGTGGGGGAATCTAAATACCACACTATCACAAATAGACAGATTATCTAGACAAAAAGTCAACAATGAAATACTAGAACTGAAACAAGCTTTTGAACAAATGGACTTAATAGATGTCTACAGAGTGTTCCACCCCACAAAATCAGGATATACATTCATTTCTGCTGCACATGGATCATTCTCCAAAATAGACCACATGCTGGATCATAGAACATATGTAAATAAATGCAAAGGAATCGAAATTATCCTATGTATATTATCAGACCACAGTGCAATTAAGCTAGACATCAGTAGCATAAGAAACTGGAAGAACTTCACGAACACATGGAAATTGGACAACACACTTCTGAACAATCAATGGGTCATGAGGAAATTAGTCAGGTTTTACAAATAAATGATCATGCCAATACAACATACAGGAATCTATGGGACACAATGAAAGCAGTGTGGGAATTCATAGCAGTGAATGCCCACACTAGGAAAACAGAGCGAGCTCAAATAAACAACCTAATGATGAATCTTAAGCTCCTAGAAAAAGAAGAGCAAGAAAAACACAAAGCTTGTACAAGGGAGGAAATTATAAAGATCAGAGCAGAAATCAATGCAGTGGA